ACTTACCGCGAAGAATACAAGCCTAGTATTAACACTACTGATTGAGTAGGGGAGAGAGTGGTTAAACCACAATACTTAGGGGAACCGGAGGAGACGGAGATGAACCAGATGACTTCAGTGATTTTTCAGTGATGACAGTGTTTTACCAGATTACTGAAGAACTCATGTAATCAGAGTGCTGCTTTCCCTTTCCCTTCAGAGCTACGAAGAGTCTTCTCTCCTTCTTTATCCCTGTGAGGAAGAGCAGCACTGATGTCGTCCTAATCTATTCTAGTAATGTTGCTGAACTGCAGTTTCAGCTCCTTGTCTTCATAAAGCACACTTATCTTATTACTTAAGTATTTACACTCCACTGTAAGCATGGCAACACATTTATTTCAGCCATTGATTACATACTTTGACACATCTTTCTAGTTCAGAATTGTTTAATGTAGTTTTTAAATGTGCAATAAAGGTATTAATGAAGCTCTTGTCCTGAATGTGTTTGTTTCAATGCTGCATATCTGCTATAAATAATGGCAAGCTCCATCCATCATCTTCTGCTTATCCGGGGCCGGGTTGTGGGGGCAGCAGGTGGCGCACTTAAACTCCCTCGCTTGAGAAATCAACCAGCAACCCTCTCACTCTCCGGGGAGAACTCCAACATGGCGGCGCTCAGCCAGGGGCTTGTGAGCATCTCCACACCCGCCTGGCACCCCTCACCATGGACAACTCCAGAAAAGGAGAGAGTCCAACCCCTCTCAAGGAGTTGGGTTCTGGAGCCCTTGCTTTATGTGGAGGTGAAGCCCAACTATATCTAGCCAGTAACGCTCCACCTCCCGCACCAGCTCAGGCTCCTTCCCCGCCAGTGAGGTGATGTTTCATGTCCCAAGAGCTAGTCTAAGCCACCAGGGGGCAGTACGCCAGGACACCCGCTCCTGCCTACCACCCAGTTGGCACAGCACCGGACCCCAATCTTCTGCCCTGAGGGTGGTGGGCCCTCTGGGCAGTGGCCCCATGTTACTATTTCTGGCTGTGCCCAACTGAGCCCCGCTCGGCCACCAGACGCTCCCAGGCCTGGCTCCAGGAGGGTGCCCCGGTCACCCTATTCTGGGCGAGGTAGCGGCTGTCCTTGTTCTGTTCATCTGGGTCTTCTGAATCGCTATTGTCTGGTCCCTTCCCCAGAACCAATTTGCCTTGGGAGACCCTACCAGTGGCTAGTGCCCCGGACAACATAGCTCCCAGGATCACAAGGACACTCAAATTAAATCGTTTTAATTAACCCTGGAAACGTTTCCTATTTCATGTATAGTTTTCCAAACACCTAAAGACCTGTAGTTGCTTCACACTTAGGGAAGAAGATTTTATTTTTTCTTCAGCCTCGCTGTGCTGTATTTTAAATATTATATTTAACTGCAGTGTCAGTCACTATTATTCTGGGTGTTTGTTCTTCCAATCTACACTGCAATAAGAAGAACTACAACATGTGCATCAGTCATTCAACAACTGTAAACAGCTGTACAAAAACATGTTACAGATCACAGTGTTGATGAACAGTTTTATCCAGTTTAACATCAGACAGCAGATATTCAGGACTACTGATAGAACATTAACTTTCCAGTTTTAATCACGTTTAAGTTTCCTGAAGGTTACGTTAACGTGAACCAGCTTCTCCACGGACAGTTTTATTAACTCAATGTACCACATAACAGTAACACAACACACTTCAGCCTGATTACATGAAACACAACACAAACATTGTTAGCTTAATGCTGCTACGTTTAACTTTAACCAGGCTTCGACTGTCAGCTAGTTTAGTTTAGTTTGTTAAGATCCCCATTAGCCGCAGCAAAGCCACAGCTATTCTTCCTGGGGTAAAACAGAATTATACATATTTAAAAAAAGAAAGTTTCTTGTGAGCACGTGATAGTTTTGTGTGCACATGAGATCATTCCTCGTTTGTACACACTGCAGGTGCACACAATAGACCAGCAGTCCATCTCTGCGTGCTTGTCTGAAAATGATAATACAGGATTTAGTTGATTTAGTCACTTAGTTTATCTTGGACTCGGTTATACTTCAGTAAAGTTGGAAAGATATTAACAGATTTGGACTTCCGGCATCAATAACTCTTTAACGAAACGTCATCAACACACAAATTATGCCTCTTTACCATCAGTGTGAGGTGGACAATATACTACATTTTTTTATCAGCACGAGAAAGTTTTCACGTGCACACGAGATAGTTTCTTGTGAGCACAAGATAGTTTTGTCTTGTGCGCGCGAGAAACTACATTTTTAAAAAAGTCTGCCAATGTCCCTTTAGGGCAGGGGTGTCCAATCCTGGTCCTCAAGGGCCACAATCCTGCATGTTTCAGATGTTTCCCTTTTCCAACACACCTGATTCAAATGATCAGGATCGTCATCAGGCTTCTGCAGAGCTTGATGATCATTTGGCCTTGGCTAGTCATGAGGCTTCTTATCTTCTGGGGTGAGTAAATCAATCAATGTTCACAGTGTCGTTGCAAAAAAATGAATGAATCATGTTGTTGATGCCGCCAGAGAATCTCAACGCTGATTGGCCATCGTGCCGCGTCAGATCGCAAAAGTTCAGATTTTTCAACTTGCTCTTCAAACCAGCCAGCGGAAAGTAAAATTTTGTGAAAATGTGCTGCAACCACCCGGGTAAATAACGACAAACTAACAGTTAATATATCAGAAG